GAGCTGGGAAAAAGACATAATGAAAATCGGTGAGGACGGAGAGTAAAGAAACAAGAGTTGCTGTTTGTGTGTCCAGCCAACAGCAACGCTGGACACTGGAGATATGGGATGAAGTTTGCAGAGTAGCTACTGATAAATCAGATTTTGGTTAATTGTCTGTAATTAGCAGTGGAAGGAAGGGTACAGCTGGAAGAGACGAGGGGCTCTTCGAATTAGCTGCCAGAAAGTCTTGACTGCATCATGGAGGAAAAGAAATATGGGTTGGGGAAAAATAAATAAAAATAAAGAGATTGAACTCTCCAATGTTCTCTTATTGAATGAGTCAAATTCTTCAGCATCACTCAGCTGGAAGTGTGGAAAAGGGGTCTGAATCTCCACTGCTCCATCCCAGCAGCCTCGCTTTACACGCTACGTTCAGTTCAGCATCAGGAGGGTTTGGCCAACAGCAGCCAGGACCTGCTCTCTCAACAGGATGGCTTTAATTTTTTGTGGCCACTGTGGAGAGCAGAAAGGCACTGAAAGCAAAACTCTCTTCACTTCGCAAACAGATTTTCCGCCTTCACTTTCATCCCTTTTATTGCAGGTCAAATTTGGACCAGCTGATCTTGACAAGTGTCCCCTCCAGATAAGGCAAAAGAGAATTAATTCCCTGCAATAATCTCTGTGACCAATTTATTAAGTCAGCAGCGTGAGTGATGTTGCTGCTCTCGAGATGCCCACGAAGCAGCCCTGGAAGTCAGAACACTTGTCATCAACATGGATTTTGTCTTAGAGGGCTTGTTTTGCTCCGCAATGATCACAATGGATCTGCCCAGGAACTTGGGCCCCCTTTGGCATGTTTTAAGCTCTGGTGGAGTCCCAGTGCCACAACCATCCAAAATATGGGCTGGAAATACCCGGGTCAGTGGGGTTTCAGGTTTCTGGGTTCATTCTCTGGGTCCCTGGAGAGCTCTCACTAGAATAATACAATGGTTATTTTCTTTTTTGGCAAAATAACCCCATTGGCTTATTGTTGGCTGATCTGTTTCTTGTGCTCTGCCACTCTTCAGTGTGCCCTGATTTATCCTTCTGAAAATTCAAGTCAACTTGAAAACAGAAACATGGGTTTAAAACACAATGTTTCACTTTGTTAAAAAAAAAACAACAACTTGAAGTGTTTAGGAAATTCAAGTCATCTTGAAAACAAAAACATTGTTTTAAACCACAGTGTTTCATTTTGTTAAGGCAACAATGACTTGAAGTGTTTCAGCTCTTCAGAATTAATTCTACACTTTTCATTTGTAACTATTTACCATCTTTGCCTTCCACTGGCTCAGAATTAAAGTTAAATGTCAGGAAGAAGAGTTCCTTGTTTGAGAGGAGACAATACATTACATCTGCAATGTGTGTGTGGATGGTTAAAGCTACTGGAAACAGCTATAAAATTGTTGTCCTGAATTTTCAGGGAAAAAATCATGCTTTTAGTCAAGACATTACGCTTAAATTTCTTTAGTCATTTGTATGTTGACAATCGCTACTTTGACCTGCTTCCAAAATACCTTCTGAAAAACAGAATCACAGAATGCTGTGGGGTTGGAAGGGACCTCTGGAGATCATCCAGTCCAACCCCCTGCCAAAGCAGGGTCACCCAGGGTCCCACAGGAACGTGTCCAGGTGGGGTTTGAATGTCTCCAGAAAAGGAGACTCCACCACCTCCCTGGGCAGCCTCTGCCAGGGCTCTGCCACCCTCACAGCAAACAAGTTCCTCCTCATGTTTAGGTGGAACTTCCTCTGTTCCAGTTTGTGCCCGTTCCCTCTTGTCCTGTCCCTGGGCACCACTGAAAAAAGCCTGGCCCCATCCTCCTGACACCCACCCTTGAAGTATCTATAGGTGTTGATCAGATCCCCCCTCAGCCTTCTCTTCTCCAGACTAAAAAGACCCAAGTCCCTCAGCCTTTCCTCAGCAGAGAGATGCTCCAGGCCCCTCATCATCTCTGTAGCCTCTGCTGTCCCCTCTCCAGCAGTTCCCTGTCCTTCTGGACCTGGGGAGCCCAGAACTGGTCCCAGTGCTCCAGCTGGGGCCTCCCCAGGGCAGAGCAGAGGGGCAGGATGACCTCCCTCCACCTGCTGGCCATACTCTTCCTGATGCCCCCCAGGATGCCCTTGGCCTTCTTGGCTACAAGGGCACTTTGCTGGCTCATGGACATCCTTTGTCCACCAGGACTCCAGCTGTCTGTTCCCCAGCAGCGCAGGACACCTTCATGCTGGGATTTTCTGGTGTCTGTCGAGATGGAATGAGCTTCCACTAATTTTTACTCCTGACCACAACAGCAGAGCGGAGCCACCTCTGAGAGAGCCCCTGCGACTGGCATGTCCCTCGTCCCCCATGAACAGAGCTATAGCACAGATACTCTGACCAGTTGTACCCCTCAACACTGCCATGGTTGGCATGGTGGGCCCCACCATGGGGCCCATGGTGGGCCCCAATTTTCACAGGGGTTACTAAGGGACCGAACCCTCTGTTGCATTTTTATACCGCCCTCAACCTGCACAGGTTGTAACAGTGTCATGATTTAACAGAAGTCATGCTGTGAGTAAATGATACCATTCCCCAAAGCAGATGGGGTTTGAAAGATGTGACAGGAAAGAAAGAAGCCAAAGAATTTGCTTGGAGCACGTTTTGAGGTTTGAAGGTGGGGATTAATATCCCCCAAACTGCCTTATCAATATCACAAAGCGCGAGGACAAAGAGGAAAGCACAAACGCTGTGTTTCTGCAAGTCACTCTCCTTGTGCCAAAACATCCCCCGCCGGTGACCATATGTCACTCAGAAACCATCTCAGCATCTCAATCCGGTAACGGCATCACCCCAGCTCCCCTCTGCTCTGAGTTCAACGCAAACTGGCTCTTCTAGTTCCAATTTTGGAATTTCACAGCCTGCCTTCGGAGACCAGAATAATTCATTTCCACAGATGTATGCTCCTTAATGTCATTATACACCGACCTGTGCAATCCCTCTGGGAGAGGAGCCCATTTGTAAAGCGATATTATTCCTATGTCATGCTTTTAATTTCGAGGTTGTTATTGGTAATGACTTCCTCTCAGACGTGCCCGGCAGAGCTGAGCTCTCACAAGAGGAAGGCTGTTCAAACGGAACGGGATGGTGTCACTGTGATGAGGAAAGAGGCTTTGGACAAACAAGGAACTGCATTCCCTGCTCAGATTAGGAGGTTCCAACGCCTTGTAAATGTTTAGGCTACAAAATAAGCTTCCATTACAAATCTTCGCCTTTGATGGGCTTTTCCACCCACCCTTTCTTTTGCCACATCTCTACGATGCTCTGCTGGGAAAGAATATTTGCCTGGTAATGAACCAGGTGACGCCTAACGAACCCCAGTTCTCCACTCCAGTCCTCCAGCCGAGGTACGGTGCCATCTGTACACAACCTCCCGCCAGCCATCACTATTTACCTCCTGACTAAAGGGAGACACTGGGAAACTGAACTGGGTCTCCAGAGAGCTGTCTTTGAGAGAGAAGGTCTGGGGATGCAGGAATCCGAGAGACTGTTTCCCCTTGCATCTGGCTGTTAGGAGACTAACAGGGACAAATCTCAAGAAGGGGACAATATTAATAGTAAGCCAAGGCCAGAATCTGTGGGACAGGGTGCTGGTACCACTGAGTACTCGTATCAAGCTGAAACCCTTTGCTCATGGTTCAGAGAAAGCCCATGCTTATTCAACATGAAAAAAAATATCCAAATGCCACCACCAGAAAGACCTTGGGTCGACAGTGCCATCTCATAGCTAAAATCCTTAAACACCAAAGGGCAAAACTACTTACAAAAGCTTTTTGGCATCTCTGTCTCTTTCTGTCTTTCCACACCCCCAGAGAGCAGCTCTCTCCTGAGCGCTGCCTGTAGCACCCTTCTCCTAAAGCCCCTGACCGGACCGGGGTGCGCTGCCAGCCCCGGCCTCGGAAAGCCCTCCTGAAGGGAGCATCAGCATCTCCAGGTGCTAAAACACGCCTGCTCTGCTACAAGCACAGCAGAAAGAGCCTGCCAGCTCCTCCTCAGAGCCCAGAATTGATGAATCAGCTCTGAGTGGCAAAATGACCCCATGGTGCCATGTCTTGTAGGTGAGACTCCAGAGTACAAGCATCCTCCTGCTCTATCCAGAGCCCTAGGAGATACACCGCATCCCCCCAGATGGAGCCTGGAGGTCTTTGTGGACCAGCCTGAGGCATGCTCCCTTTTCCACACTTGGGAAAGCTGAGGCACACAACTTTTCCAGATTTATTATATACGGACGCAGGCTTCTTTCATCGCCTGCCACAAATACACCCATAGGAGGAAATTAGGAATCAGCTGAGTCTATCTCCTGATCTACCCATTACACAGCATTGTTTTAAGCTGTTAAACAGCTGCTGGGTTGCAAGAGTCACAAAAGCAGTTTCTGTATTTTTCCTCTTTGAGCTCCTTTTGAAAATATATGTCCTGCATCACATGCGAGTCGTTCAGTTTCAGCACATGCTGTTTTATGGGATATAGTAATACTCGGGCACGTCCTTCGTAGTCTCCATTAAAAAGCAACACTACAGCAATACTGAAAATAGCACAGTTACAGCTAATTTTTAATACAGAGGAGAAATGGGAAAAGATTTGTGCCATGAATTTTGATCACAGGAAATGGGAACACAAGAGACCTCATGAATTCTTTTAGTCCATTCTCTTTTCCCCATGGATCAGTTCTAAGTGATTACGGGGTGTTTCTTGACCAACTGGATCCAGGATTCATCTGAATCCTGGACATACAAAAGAGTGTGAAACACTACAACATGAGCTAAAGGACCCATCTTTTAATTGCTAATTATCTCAGACACAATATGCCACCCAAATCAGTCACTAGAGAAGGACAAATCCCAACTTGTTCCCAGTTGAGGTGACATTGCCAGTAAAACCTTAACGCACTCCATTTTTCCCCTTCCCCCCTCAAAATTGTGACTGATGTTTGACAAGTCCTTACCTGTTGCTTCCACCATTCCTTCCAGGATGACCACAATTTCAAACTCCTCCTTCTCCAGCTGGGTGCGGGACATCTCCCAGAAAGGGCTTTTCTCATTGATTTCATGTGAGATGATGAGAGGTGACACCAGGAACAATCTGTCATCTCCGGTGTCAAATCCCACGTTGATGTCCGTTTGGTTCAAGGGGATAAACTCTCCTTCTTTGGTCTGTTTGGACTTAATCAGTTTGGCTCTAATGGAAGCCTCAACAATGTGGGAATTGCGGAGGTCTCCAACCCGGAACATGAGACAGAGCTTCTCATCCCTCATGGAAATCACGGCATTGTTAGAAAACATGAGGGTTTCGGCCCTCTTCTTTGGTTGGCTGATCTTGACAAACATGCATCCCACCATGAACGCGTTGACGATGGAGCCCAGAATAGCCTGGATGAGGAGCAGTACGATGCCCTCTGGGCACTTCTCCGTTATGACCCGATAGCCATACCCAATCGTTGTCTCAGTCTCGATAGAAAACAGAAACGCAGACACAAATCCACTGAGATTTTCAACACAGGGGATCCAGTTCTCATCTTCAAGATGGTCCAGGTCTCCCCGGATATAGGCAATGAGCCACCATATGAACCCAAAAAACAACCAAGTGATGGTATAGACCATAGTGAAGACAAGAAGATTAAAACGCCACTTGAGGTCCACCAGCGTAGTGAAGAGGTCACTAAGGTATCGATAG